GCGTTCGAGACGCAATTCGACCCAGTAGCGGAGCCCACATCAGTAAGAATTAAGATTACGGTCAGCCTGGGAGAAGTTAAAAGGGGGATTTTCCTTTAAAGCATCGAATCAGTTACTGAAGACAATTGCCTGTCCTTTGAGGACAAGATTAGGAAGCCACTAGTTGCATAAAAGCCTGGAATCATTTGTTCAACTTTCTGAAGACAACAGAAGTTTCTGTTTGATTGTTCATTAATAAAGGACTTTGTTATACTTCACAAGCCATCTAAAGATCATTTGTGGTGGAAGATCCCTGAGAGCTTCTCTTTGGGGAACCCCGGGCTTCCCACTGGGCTCAAGTTGCATGTCTTAACTTAAAGACAATTCTTTACAGGCCCAGTGCGCGACAGAACAATTATTATTATTATTATTATTATTATTATTATTATTATTATTATTATTATTATTATTTGAAACACAACAAGATGAGTCCACAGCAGACAAGATCACTCTGCTGGCTGTTGTATTGGATCACCCATTATTATGATTATTATGATTATGATTATGATTATTTTATTTTGCTTCCCCCTCCCCCAAGACTGTGACTCAGATGATTTTGGACCCCTTTGGCATAAAAAGATTGAAAATTTGGGAGGAGGAGAGTCTAAAACAGGCATGGGCAAACCTTTCAACTTGGAGGCCACATGGTGGGCAAGGTGGGTGGGCCGGATGGAAAGGGAGGGGGGAGGCCAGGGGGATTGGCAGAAGAAGGAGGAGGGCTTCATACATGGTAATGAGCCTGGTCCACAGCCACACCCAGGAAGTTGTGCTCATCAGCAGCAGCCCCAAGTAGAACATCTTCCTGGTCTCCACCTTGTTCTCCACTACCATGGGACTCAGTTACTCTTCACCAGCACACTCCCATTCTTCTGGGCCTCTGAACCCAGTGATAAGAAGGGCAGCTCCTCCTCCTCTTCCTCTTCCTCCTCCACCACCTGGGCTAGTGGTTGCCTAGGACTTTCCATCCCTTCCAGCCTGCTCCTATTGTTCTTCTTTCTGAGGGAGAACTTGCCCTTGAGGAAGGTGGTGGCAGCAGAGGAGGAAAACGATGTGGAAGAGGAGCTACCCTCCTCATTGCCTAGAAGAAGGGGAACCCATTAACTCAACTGCTCCTATTGTTCTTCTTTCTGAGGGAAAACTTGCCCTTGAGGAAGGTGGTAGCGGCAGAGGAGGAAAACGAGGTGGAAGAGGAGCTACCCTCCTCATTGCCTGGAAGAAGGGGAACTCGTTGACTCCACACATACCAGTGAGGAGCAGCTAAGTCTTGTGGAGATGGAAGTCAAGGTGCAGGCCAGGAAGAGGCTCTGCCTGGTGCTGGTGCTGCAACCATGTGTGACTTCCCTGGCCTCCTCTCAGCATGAGGATGTGGGTGGGCCACCATGTCCTCATGTTTATAGGAAGTTGTGAGAAAAGAGTCCAAAGGCTGCATCTGGCCCCCGAGCCTGGGTTTGTCCATATCTGGTCGAGAAGCTTTGGGAGTTCTCAGAGAACTCATGTTACCCCCTTCTAGGACATATGGGGCCAATGGTTATAGTTGGCCCATCTTTTGGTCCATCCTTGGTCCTTCTTCTTTTCTTTTGTGAATAGAGAGAAAGAAAGAGAAGTATCATGGAGGAAGGCGGCAGGAGGAACCTTAGAAAGATCTAGATGAAATATATCTTCAGGAGCATCCTCATGCTTATATGAAGGTGAGATAGAGGAGGTGAGATATGGGTTTGTCCATATCTGGTCAAGAAGCATTGGGAGTTTTCAGGGAACTCATGTTGCCCCCTTCTAGGACATATGAGGCCAATGGTTATCGTTGGCCCATCTTTTGGTCCATCCTTGGCTCTTCTTTTATTTTGTGAATAGAGAGAAAGAGAAGTATCATGGAGGAAGGTGGCAGGAGGAACCTAAGAAAGATCTAGATGAAATATATCTTCAGGAGCATCCTCATGCTTATATGAAGGTGAGATAGAGGAGGGTCTGAGAAAAGAGTCCCCAAAGGGCCTCATCTGGATCCCGGGCCTGGGTTTACCCATGTCTGGTCAAGAAGCATTGGGAGTTATCAGGGAACTCATGTTGCTCTCTTCTAGGACATATGGGGCCAATGGTTATAGTTGGCCCACCTTTTGGTCCATCCTTGGTTTTTCCTTTCTTTTGTGAATAGAGGGGAAGAAAGAGAAGTATCATGGAGGAAGGTGGCAGGAGGAACCTAGAAAGATCTAGATGAAATATATCTTCAGGAGCATCCTCATGCTTATATGAAGGTGAGATAGAGAAGGTGAGATATGGGTTTGTCCATATCTGGTCAAGAAGCATTGGGAGTTTTCAGGGAACTCATGTTGCCCCCTTCTAGGACATATAGACCCAGGCATGTAGCCAGGGGTGGGGCTCGGGGGGCTTCAGCCCCCCCCCGAAATTCTCATGGTGGTTCGCGAAAAGGCCTTACTGGTGCATTATTTAAACTGTTATGTTTATTCATACCATGATCTGATCACCATACTCAATATATCCCATATGCATGGGGGTATTGGGGTAATGATACAAAAGGTTTGCTAGGCTAGACCCTCTTTCACTCAGACTCAGCCCCCCCCGAAACTCAGCCCCCCCCCAAAAAAAACCCCCCCGAACCCCCCCCTGAAAATTTTTTAGCCCCCCCCCCGAAACGAAATCCTGGCTACGGGCCTGTATGGGGCCAGTGGTTATTATTGGCCCATCTTTTGGTCCATCCTTGGTTCTTCTTCTTTTCTTTTGTGAACAGAGGGAAAGAAAGAGAAGTATCATGGAGGAAGGTGGCAGGAGGAACCTTAGAAAGATCTAGATGAAATATATCTTCAGGAGCATCCTCATACTTATATGAAGGTGTGTGAGAGAAGGTGAGATGTGGGTTTGCCAATATCTGGTCAAGAAGCATTAGGAGTTCTCAGGGAACTCATGTTGCCCCCTTCTAGGGCATATGGGGCCAATGGTTATAGTTTGCCCATTTTTTGGTCCATCCTTGGCTCCTCTTCTTTTCTTTTGTGAATAGAGAGAAAGAAAGAGAAGTATCATGGAGGAAGGTGGCAGGAGGAACCCTAGAAAGATCTTGATGAAATATATCTTCAGGAGCATCCTCATGCTTATATGAAGGTGAGATATGGGTTTGTCCATATCTGGTCAAGAAGCATTGGGAGTTTTCAGGGAACTCATGTTGCCCCCTTCTAGGACATATGGGGCCAATGGTTATAGTTGGCCCATCTTTTGGTCCATCCTTGGTTTTTCTTTTCTTTTGTGAATAGAGAGAAACAAAGAGAAGTATCGTGGAGGAAGGTGGCAAGAGGAACCCTAGAAAGGTTTACTTGAAATATATCTTCAGGAACATGTGGGAAAAGAGAATCTAGTCTAGTGAAAGTCGACCACAGTGTTGTATTGGAGGACCTACAGATTCCTTGACAGAATCAAATCCATCAACAAAAGCAATGTTGGAATGGAATGGAAGCAACGTTGTGCCAACATTTAGGATATGACCTAGGCCAGTGAGATCACATGAAAACATGTCAGACAGGATATGCTGAGAAGCATTTGTTTTATTGATGCAAAGATAATGGTGAACAACATATTTCCAGATATTACCCTGCCAATCATTTTGGTAGCCATAACACAGTCAGGAAATATTCATTACCAGAGAATCATACATCAGTTGCTCTAGCAAAGCATCTACAAGCATAGCTTGTCCTTCTTAGACAGAATAAGATATCTAGAATCATTTTAAGTCAAGCTAAATATGTCAGGAAATCCAGTCTACAGTTGGCCAGAATTGACAAAATAATGAAACTCATTGCTTTAACAGAGGAAATATTCAACCCTTCACCAGCAAAAAAAATATATGGAGTAAAATATTCTGATGTCAATTCACATCATCCAGGTTATGGTTTGCAAGGAGGCCACCCATGGAGTCAACGTTGTCCAAGGATCTGTTTATGGAAAACCTGATTGCTATTCATCACACCCCACAACTTTTTCCTGACTCTTGAGATACCTGTTGACTTTGAGTCAGAGTAAAGTGGAGACTATGTTGGACTAGTGTCTGTCCCATCATGAGACCACCTTCCAAAATGGTAGCCCATGACCCAAAAGTGAGTGTTGGGGAGCCACCAGTTCTGTGAATTCCAGGCTTTGGACTTTGGGCTGAAATAAAGGAATTATTTCCTTATTTTGCTTTTACAAAGGGGCAACATTGCAAAACTGAAGAGTATGATTAGGATTTGAGATTCCAAAATTAAGCATGCTTCACACCTGAGAAAGTTAGCAAACATTCAGAGAACATACATTTGTGATTTATGCCATCAGATCCGACCAACACAAGACCTGTTAGAGCTCCAGTAGGAATGCTTTGAACACGTGACCATGGAGCACCTCATTTAGAAAGGCTTGAATGGAGTAGACCCAGTGAATCAATATATTGAACATTGCCTCAAGGGGTGTACTCTAGCCATGACTAAGGTTACAATGTACATACACAGTCACTGCCCTTTACATTACATTGTTCCCCTTCCTTTGCTCACTTCTGAAGACCCTCTAGTCTGAAGACCCTCTATCCTGCCTTTTCTTCCTCATTGCTTCTCCTCCTCTTATCCTTCTCCAACGTTCCTTCCTTCCTTTCTTCTCTACTTCCTTGGCAGCTTAGAGTTGCCATCCTTTCTTCTTGGGGAACTTGTTGATGTTATGAGGCTTCCGGTTGGCTCCAATGCATGCTGAGTCTTACAGACTTTCTCAGGATTTTCTTGGAATTCATCAGAGGTGGTCTTCTTCTGGTTGTCCAAAGTCACTTGGTGGGTCTCCATGGCTGAGCAAAGGTTTGTAATCTGGTCTCTCAGGATTCTAGTCCAATTTGATACCTAACGGGCAGCCCAAATCTGATGGTCTCCATACAACAAATGACCTCCAGGCCCACCATCAAAGCTGGTCTCTGAAGTCTCCTCAGAACTAGATATTGTGTGGCTATTCCAGAGCAGTGGTGGAGGCCCAAAAGATCAATGGAGTTGGTGGGAAAGTTGACCACTCCACATCATGGGTGTATCCACTCTAGATACCTCCACCATCTAGCATCAGAATATTGTTGGCACACTACAATAGCAACTGGACTATTTTGGGACAAGAGGATGAAACATGTTAGCTTTTTGCTCTCATGCTCTGGAGATCTATGTCAATGGTCTATGCCAATGTAGTTATGCCAACACCACAAAAAGGAAGCCTACTTTTGAGGAACATTGTAGTATATTGGTAGGTTTTAAGAAAGTTGAAGAAGGAGAAAGAGGTCTGACTCCGATGCGTTATCTGCAACTGGAGTCAAGCCATTGATTCAATTGTTGGCCCCTAAATAAATATGCCCTATCTTTCTCCAATATGGCTCAAGTGGAGGACATCCTTCAAATAACATTGTCCTTCATACCCCAAATTTCTAACACTGCAGGCAGTGAGTCGTGGCAATGCTAAAAATTTGGGGACTGAAGGGAATTTTGGGGACTGGAGGGAAATTTTGGAGGGAGATCAAAATGTTAATTGGGAGGTAGTGCTCTCATCGTTATAGCTACCTGACTAGCAATAGGATTCAAACCCTGGACTCACAACTGTGGCAACAACGTGCCATCACTGGAATGAAATCCATGGTTGAAATCTAAATCTAGAGTTTGAACTTCCAGGTTAAGCTGGAAGGCCGACCAAAGCAGAACCTACAGGAAAGTGGACCCAGGAAACCATAAGCGAGTAGAACGGGAGACATTTTGTTGGCTCTTATCCTAAGTAATAGATCTCAAAATTTTCATAGGGACATCCCCGAGGATACCCACAGATTGGAGAGCAAGAGACTTGACCCAGAGGGTAGACGCAGGCTGGCTGGACACAGATGGAGGACCTTGGGTAGCAATTAGGATAGCAGTTTGGTATGCATGAAGGTGGGCATACAGGTGAGTATGGGTATGGGCATGGGATTGAGCATGGGGACTGGCATGGATTCACACAGATTGGACGGTACTGTGGCCTCTGATAGTACGGGATGCAAGGAGACACACACGATGGTTGGCAGGGGTACTGACAGACCGGGCGGCATGGAGATGAGCATTGAGGAGGCAGGCAGAGAGGACGGCAGGGGCTTAAGCACTGTGGTCTCCCATAGCAGGGTCCGCAGTTAGGCAGGCATCTAGGACGACACGGGCTTAAGCAGGGAGGGGGACATGGGCAGGGACAGTGGCTGATGTATTTTGAATTGCTGCCATAGGGCTTGATGGGGAATGGAGACTTCGTTGGCAAGCAGTCAGGCGTTTGCTTGATCAAGACGAGGGTGCCCCCATCGAGCAGGATTGGGTGGTACACATCCACAGAATCGGGGATGAACTGGTTGAAATTCATCTTCTTACTTCTGGGCAAAAAAGAAGAACCTATGAACCTGAAAGGAAGAAATAGGTTTATTATTATTTTTTGGTTGCAATATTTCTCCCTCACCTTCCATCCAAAGATCTTGAGGTCTTAAGTTAGACAGTTAAAATACTTTCCGTAAACAAATTGAACAATTTGACAGCTTAATACAAGATAGGTCAGATGTAGTTTGGCTGTGGAGAGAAAGAAGAGGAAGCAGGCACAACTCCATCAGGTCTAAGACCAGAAGCAGGTGAAAGGACCTCCCATTTCATCCCAACTGTTATTGTCCTGACCTTGGAGGAGAGAAAAAACAGACACATCTTCAAGCCCAGGTTAGAAACAGATGGGAGGCCCATCCTTCATCCCAACTGCCACTGCTTTAGCCTTCATACCCAGGTCAGAAACGGATTGGATGGGAGGCCCATCCTTCATCCTCACTGCCACTGCTTTGGCCTTCATGCCCAGGCCAAAAACGGATTGGATGGGAGGCCCATCCTTCATCCCAACTGTCACTTCTTTGGCCTCCAAATGAAAGAAGAAGAACCAAACACAGTTCTATCATGCGGACCCTTTTCTACCCCAACTGCCATTGCCCTACCCTCAGAAGGAGAGAAGATGCATAGTTCCATCAAGCCTGGTTCCAGAAGAAGAGGAAATGTCCTTCCCCCATCCCAATTGCCACTGATGTCTACTATGCCTCAGCCCAGAAGCAGATCAAAGCCCCCTTCCATCCCAGATGTCCCTTCATTGACCTCAGGGGAAGAGAAGAAAAGTACAGGCCCTTCATGCCCAGGTCAGAAATAGATTGGATGGGAGGCCCATCCTTCATCCCCACTGCCACTGCTTTGGCCTTCATGCCCAGGTCAGAAACGGATTGGATGGGAGGCCCATCCTTCATCCCAACTGTCACTTCTTTGGCCTCCAAGTGAAAGAAGAAGAACCAAACACAGTTCTATCATGTGGATCCTTTTCTACCCCAACTGCCATTGCCCTAACCTCAGAAGGAGAGAAGAAGACGTATAGTTTCATCAGGCCTGGGTCCAGAAGAAGAGGAAATGTCCTTCCCCCATCCCAATTGCCACTGATGTCTACTATGCCTCAGCCCAGAAGCAGATCAAAGCCCCCTTCCATCCCAGTTGTCACTACATTGACCTCTGGGGAAGAGAAGGCAAGAAAAGCACAGCTCCTTCATGCCTAGGTCAGAAATAGATTGGATGGGAGGTCCATCCTTCATCCCAACTGTCACTTCTTTGGCCTCCAAGTGAAAGAAGAAGAACCAAACACAGTTCTATCATGTGGACCCTTTTCTACCCCAACTGCCATTGCCCTAACCTCAGAAGGAGAGAAGAAGACACATAGTTTCATCAAGCCTGGGTCCAGAAGAAGAGGAAATGCCCTTCCTCCATCCCAATTGTCACTGATGTCTATTATGCCTCAGCCCAGAAGCAGATCAAAGCCCCCTTCCATCCCAGATGTCACTTCATTGACCTCAGGGGAAGAGAAGAAGAGAAAAGCGCAGTTCCTTCATGCCCAGGTCAGAAATAGATTGTATGGGAGGCCCATCCTTCATCCCAACTGTCACTTCTTTGGTTTCCAAGTGAAAGGAGAAGAACCAAACACAGTTCTATCAGCTCCTCCATGCCCAGGTCAGAAACAGATTGGATGGGAGGCCCATCTTTCATCCCCAGTGCCACTGCTTTGGCCTTCATGCCCAGGTCAGAAACAGATTGGATGGGAGGCCCATCCTTCATCCCAACTGTCACTTCTTTGGCCTTCAAGTGAAAGAAGAAGAACCAAACACAGTTCTATCATGTGGATTCTTTTCTACCCCAACTGCTATTGCCCTAACCTCAGAAGGAGAGAAGATGCATAGTGCCATCAAGCCTGGGTCCAGAAGAAGAGGAAACGTCCTTCCTCCATCCCAGTTGCCAGTGATGTCTACTATGCCTCAGCCCAGAAGCAGATCAAAGCCCCCTTCCATCCCAAATGTCACTTCATTGACCTCAAGGGAAGAGAAAAGTGCAGGTCCTTCATGCCCAGGTCAGAAATAGATTGGATGGGAGGCCCATCCTTCATCCCAACTGCCACTGCTTTGGCCTTCAAGGGAAAGAAGAAGAACCAAACACAGTTCTATCATGCAGATCCTTTTCTACCCCAACTGCCATTGCCCTAACCTCAGAGGGAGAGAAGAAGAGGCATAGATCCATCAAGCTTAGGTCCAGAAGAAGAGGAAATGTCCTTCCTCCATCCCAATTGCCACTGATGTCTACGATGCCTCAGCCTAGAAGCAGATCAAAGCCCCCTTCCATCCCAGATGACACTTCATTGACCTCAGGGGAAGGAAAGCACAGCTCCTTCATGCTCAGGTCAGAAACAGATTGGATGGTAGGCCCATCCTTCATCCCAACTGCCACTGCTTTGGCCTCCAAGTGAAAGAAAAAGAACCAAACACAATTCTATCATGTAGACTCTTTTCTACCTCAACTGCGATTGCCTTAACCTCAGAGGGAGAGAAGAAGAAGCATAGATCCATCAAGCCTACGTCCAGAAGAAGAGGAAATGTCCTTCCTTCATCCCAATTCCCACTGATGTCTCCTATGCCTCAGCCCAGAAGCAGATCAAAGCCCCCTACCAACCCAGATGTCACTTAATTGACCTCAGGGGAAGAGAAGAAGAGAAAAGCACAGCTCCTTCATGCCCCAGTCAGAAACAGACTGGATGGGAGGCCCATCTTTCATCCCAACTGCCACTGCTTTGACCTCCAAGGGAAAGAAGAACCAAACACAGTTCTATCATGCAGATCCTTTTCTACCCCAACTGCCATTGCCCTAACCTCAGAGGGAGAGAAGAAGAAGCATAGATCCATCAAGCCTACTCCAGAAGAAGAGGAAATGTCCTTCCTTCATCCCAATTCCCACTGATGTCTCCTATGCCTCAGCCCACAAGCAGATCAAAGCCCCCTACCAACCCAGATGTCACTTCATTGACCTCAGGGGAAGAGAAGAAGAGAAAAGCACAGCTCCTTCATGCCCCAGTCAGAAACAGACTGGATGGGAGGCCCATCCTTCATCCCAACTGCCACTGCTTTGACCTCCAAGGGAAAGAAGAACCAAACATAGTTCTATCATGCAGATCCTTTTCTACCCCAACTGCCATTGCCCTAACCTCAGAGGGAGAGAAGAAGAGGCATAGATCCATCAAGCCTAGGTCCAGAAGAAGAGGAAATGTCCTTCCTTCATCCCAACTGCCTCAGTCCAGAAGCAGGTCAAAGCCCCCTTCCATCCCAAATGTCACTTCATTGAGCTCAGGGGAAGAGAAGAAGAGAAAAGCATAGCTCCTTCATGTCCATGTCAGAAACAGATTGAATGGGAGGCCCATCCTTCATCCCAATTGCTACTGCTTTGGTCTTCATGCCCAGATCAGAAACAAATTGGATGGGAGGCCCATCCTTCATCCCAGCTGTCACTGCTTTGGCCTCCAAGGGAAAGAAGAAGAACCAAACACAGTTCTATCATGCGGATCCTTTTCTACCCCAACTGCCATTTTCCTAACCTCGGAAGGAGAGAAGAAGATGCATAATTCCATCTAGGGGAGAGGTGCTCAGCTACAAGCCAACAGGTGCTTTTTACCTGTTTCTCTACTCTAGAGAAGAGTGCTTAGCTGCAGGAAGGCGTGTGCGTTTTCTGGGCCTGCATGCCACACGTGCACTCTCCAAGTCAAGGAGGTAAGTTCTGTTTCTTACTCTAGAGGAGGCACTAGGCTGCAGGCAGGCACAGGCTTTCTGGGCCTGCACACCACACACACTCTCTCCAAGGCAAGGAGGCTGCTCACAAAAAGTAGACGAGGAGCCAGTATCAGCTCCCACTTCGTCTCGAGCTGATTTTTGTACAGGGAGAGGGTTTCCCGATACGTGCTCCCAAAATACCGAAGGTATCAAATTTAACAGAGGAAACGGATTCTGTGCACAACCCTAGTATTACCTAGCATTGAGATGACAGTTCATATCTTAACAACACAACCAGGATCGGAGACTTTCAGGACAAATTTTCTCAAAAGTAAAACACACACGGAGTTCGACAAAATGTATATCTAGGTATAAAATGAGTGTGTATTCAATAGAGAAGCTCACATGATTAATTTGCTCCATCTTTTTCACCTAAACTATTGGATTACTCTTTTTCAGATTGTGATTCAGATCAAAACAGATTCAGCTTCCTTACTTCTGTGATATTTGCAAAAGAAAAACAACTGGGTTGTTGTAGGTTTTGGGGGCTATATGGCCATGTTCTAGAAGCATTCTCTCCTGACGTTTTGCCTGCATCTATGGCAGGCATCCTCAGAGGTTGTGAGGTCCTTGCCATAGATGCAGGTGAAATGTCAGGAGAGAATGCTTCTAAAACATGGCCATATAGCCCAAAAAACCTACAACAACCCATTGATTCCAGCCATGAAAGGCTTCGACAAAACAGAAAATCAATTGTTCAAATTTTGCAATGCAACACACATTTGAAAGTGTACCATAACATATATCTAATGAATATTTCAAACCCAACTGAGCACTCCAATTACTCCAATTGTTGTTGTTGTTGTTGCCAATTACTCAAAAACTAATAGCCATCCCATGATGGGGTCCACCTCAATTGGAGATGACTTGAAGGCACACAACAAAACCAACATTGACCCTTGGCTCCCAAACTTGAGTCCTCAGATATAACTGTGGCTTCTGGGAAATGAAGTCCAACAATGAATGGGGACTTGAGTTTTGAAACCATGGCATTGGCATCTTGGATGCTTTGGATATAAGCCTTTTAGCAAACAAATATGGCTTCTTTCCATATAGTCATCCAGATAAATGTTTGCTTCTCTAGTCAATAAATGTCTCTTCCATGCCACCAAAACATCTAGACAGAATGGTTAAGAGATTGAGAAGAGGACAGAAAGGACGTTGAATGGTCCAAAAGATGACTTACCGTCTTTGGTTTGGAGGACACACTACTGCGGCCAGTGGGTTGTGAAGATTCATTGGGACTCAAGGCCTTATATACCGTTTCCAAGTCTTCCCATGATGCCAGTGGTACCCAGAAAAACAATATTCAACCCCGAAAGAATTTCCTCTCCAACTTATCATTTCATGGAATCTTCCTTTCGAGGCAGTTAGCTGCTGGCAAATTGGGAAACTCGTTCTTCTGACTCTGATGTGGAAAAAACAGATTATCTTCTGACTAGCACATATATGATTATAGTGTGCTCACCTGCCTGGAGAAAAAGTTGGTTTGGGGAATCTGCTGAGAAGACAGCTTTCGCTGGTGTTCCACAAATATTCGAGCAATTTCGGACGTACAATGAGAAAGCCTTAACCATAGCTCTGGTCAATACTGACTATAGCCTTGATGGAGGTCATGACATTGGAATTCTTGGGGCTTCCTTAGTAATTCATACACAATTTGTATGGATTGAGACACATTTGATGCAGCCATGGATTTGATCTCCATGGATCCAACTATTCATGGCTTCAATAGGGATTCCACTGTCTAAATCAGGGGTCCACAAACTTTTTAAACAGAGGGCCAAGTCATAGTCCCTCAAACTATTCCTCAAACTATTAGAAGGCCGGATTATAATTTGAAAAAAGAAAGAAAGAAAGAATATAAACTTATAAGTATTTCAATGGGAAGTGTGGTCCTGCTTTTGGCTGATGAGATAGGATTGTTGTTGTGTGCTTTCAAGTCATTTCAGACTTAGGCTGACCCTGAGCGAGGGCCGGGTAAATGACCTTGGAGGGCCGTATTAGGCCCCCGGGCCGTAGTTTGAGGACCCCTGGTCTAAATGATGTCTTCCTTTGTTGTTGTTCATTCGTTCAGTCGTTTCCAACTCTTCGTGACCTCATGGACCAGCCCACACCAGAGCTCCCTGTTGGCCATCACCACCCCCAGCTCCCTTTAGGTTAGTCCAGTCACTTCAAGGATGCCATCCATCCATCTTTCCCTTGGGTGGCCCCTCTTCCCTTTTCCTTCCATTTTCCCCAGCATCATTGTCTTCTCTAGGTAACGTCATGGACCAGCACATGCTAGAGCTCCCTGTCGGCCACCACCACCCCCAGCTCCTTCAAGGTCAAGCCAGTCACTTTAAGGATGCCATCTATCCCTCTTGCCCTTGGTTGGCCCCTCTTCCTTTTTCCTTCCATTTTCCCTGGCATCATTGCCTTCTCTAGGTAACGTCATGGACCAGCACATGCCAGAGCTCCCTGTCGGCCACCACCACTCCCAGTTCCTTCAAGGTCAATCCAGTCACTTCAAGGATGCCATCCATCCATCTTGCCCTTGGGTGGCCACTCTTCCCCTTTCCTTCCATTTTACCCAGCATCATTGTCTTCTCTAGGTAACGTCATGGACCAGCACATGCCAGAGCTCCCTGTTGGCCGTCACCACCCCCAGCTCCTTCAAGGTCAATCCAGTCACTTCAAGGATGCCATCCATCCATCTTGCCCTTGGGTGGCCTCTCTTCCCTTTTCCTTCCATTTTCCCCAGCATCATTGTCTTCTCTAAGCTTTCCTGATGTGGCCAAAGTACTTCATCTTGGCCTCTACTCTCCTTCCCTCCAATGAGCAGTCAGGCTTTATTTCCTGGAGTATGGACTGGTTGGATCTTCTCGCAGTCCAAGGCACTCTCGGAACATTCCTCCAGCACCACAGTTCAAAAGTATCTATCTTCCTTCGCTCAGCCTTCCCTATGGCCCAGCTCTCACATCCATAGGTGACTACGGGGAATACCATTGCTTTTACTATGCAGATCTTCGTTGCCAGTGTGATGTCTCTACTCTTCACTATTTTATCAAGATTGGTCATTGCTCTCCTCCCAAGAAGTAAGCGTCTCCTGATTTCCTGGCTACAGTCTGCGTCTGCAGTAATCTTTGTACCTAGAAATACAAAGTCTGTCACGGCCTCCATGTTTTCTCCTTCTATTTCCCAGTTCTCAATCATTCTTGTTGCCATAATCTTGGTTTTTTTATGTATAACTGCAACCCAGCTTTTGCGCTTTCTTCTTTCACCTTGATTAGAAGGCTCCTCAGCTCCTCCTCGCTTTCAGCCATCAAAGGGAGGCACCCTCAAAGCCCTCTTGACAGATGGGAGTTGGGGTTTCCTCATCTTTGGAAGAGGAAGGGGAGCAGGGAAGTGCCCAGGAATTGGAGGAATCAGACAATGAGGGTTTGCAAGTGCTCACATTTCTAGAGAGACAAAAGCTGCTAAAAACACTGAGCTAATTGGGAGACGCCCTAGCACCTCCTGTGTGGAGAATTCAGGGCTTTAAATCAAATAGCATTTTGACCAACTTCTGACCTGGGAGTCCCGTCTTCCCAGAAATTCCAGCCAGTTTGCCAGCTGTTAGGATTTCAGGTGATAGAAGGCAAAAACATCTGGGGGTCCACAGGTTGAGAACTGCTGGTTTAGACCAATGTTTCCCAAATTCTAGTTTTGGTCTTCAAATCCCAGACGTCTCAGCCTCTTTGGTCAATGGGCAGGGATTCTGGGACCTGATTTCCAAAACCAGGAAAGCTAGAGTTTGAGAAACAACACAGATTCCATTTGAGAGACTGCTAACTGGTTTGTTGGAACAAAATTACGGTTAACGTTAACTGTGGTTTAAGGGACACTCAATAATGGGTAGTGGAGCCACAATGGATGGGTGCCACCACATTGTATATAATGAGATTTGAGCTTCAATGGATTTGGGTATTTATGGACGTCTTGGAACTTAGTCCCACTTTATTGTAGTTTAGATATCAGTGCTTTGATATCATCTGTGAGTTGAGGTTCATCTCAGTGGAGGACACGAAAAGTGGGTCAGAATTCATCGAAACCGAAATCTCAGTTGACTGTTGGGTTGAAGAGCAAGTGACCTTGTATGGTTGTTTTGTGAAGGAATGCTCATTTTGTCATCCTACATGTCATTATTGGACAAAGGTGGGGAGAAAGGGAAGTGAATGGGTCCCGCGGAAAGAAAATTATACTCTTGGAACAAAGGGGAAAATAGGTAACAGGGAAATGCTCCAAGGCTTCTGACAGTGACAAACAAAAAGAGCTGTATTTTTCACTTTGGGGAATTATGGGTTGGGTATGGTTATTACATCCAGGCACTGTTATTTAGCAGGTAATGATGATTTTTCCTGTTTATAATTTGAAAGGTGGAAATGACTTCTCTCTCATGGTTTCATTTACTAGGGTTGTCCAAGTCATCCTCCAAGCATTTGTTTACGCAGGCCATGAGTTCTCGACCCGTGACTACCATCCATTTTTGTGGTGTAGCTCCGAGACATTTTCCGACAATCCAAGTTGGGCTCTTCCAAGCGTACGTCCCATTCTGCCTCTCCTGTTTGGGGAAAATTGGCAGACATGGATAATTTATTTATTTATTTACTATTCTTGTATACCGCTGTATCTCAAGCCCGAGGGCGACTTGCTTCATTAAGTGATCTTGCTTCATTAAGGAGAAGTCAATTGATCTCTTTGAAAAGAATTGATCCCATTTATATTATTCACTAGCTATCCTCTGCCATACGTTGCTGTGCACAGTCTGTTTTGTGTTTTGTGTGTGTATCTTTGTGTACATGTGTGCATATATACTTGTGTATATGTGTATATATGTGTGTTTGTGTATATATATGTGGTTTTGCATAAGAGTTGTAATGTATTTTTTATTTTTTTGTTTTTAAAGACACTTTTGCTGTTTTATGAGTGATGGTCACTTGTTGGCCTGAGAGGTGTCTTGTGTCCAAATTTGGAGTCAATTGATCCAGTGGTTTTTGAGTTATGTTAAGCCCACAAACGAACATTACATTTTTATTTATATAGACTAGCTGTCCCCAGCCACATGTTGTTGTGGCCACACAAAGCTGTGTATATGTGCTTTGTGTGTTTGTATGTGTGTGCATATATTTGTGTATATGTGTATATATGTGTGCTTGCTATACATGTGTGTGTGTGTGTGTGTGTGTGTGGCTTTGCACATGCGTTGTAATGTATTTTTTTATTTTTTTGGCTTTTTAAGTCCCTTCCACTGTGTTTTTCAGTGTTTTTATGAGTGATGGTCACTCGTTGGCCTGAGAGGTGTCTTGTGTCCAAATTTGGTGTCAATATGTCCAGTGGTTTTTGAGTTATGTTAATCCCACAAACAAACATTACATTTTTATTTATATAGATTAAAAAAAAGGAAAATGTTAAAATGCTGGCGGGTTTTGAAGGCTGAAAAAATGATAATAAGGTAGAACGATGAAGCTGCCTTAAAATGATAGATTTTTTGTATGCGTGTGTGTATGTGTATGTATGTATGTATGTATGTATATATATATATATATATATATATATATATATATATATATATATGCTCTGTGTATAATAAGTACCTTAAAAACAAAAGAACCAATGAACAAAATCACACCAAATTTGGCAACAAACCATCTCACAACACAAGGAGTGACCATCACTCAAAAAATTATGATTTTGTAATTTGGGAGTTGCTGGGATTTATAGTTCACCTACAATCAAAGAGGCTTCTGAACTCCATCAAAGATGGAATTGAACCAAACTTGGCACACAGTTCTCCCATGACCAACAAAAAATGCTGGAAGGGTTTGGTGGGCAGTGTCCTTTGCTTTTGGAGTTGTAGTTCACCTACATCCAGACATCACTGTGGACTCAAACAATGATGGATCTGGACCAAATTTGGAACAAATACTCAGTATGCCCAAATGTGAACACTGGCGGAGTTTGGAGAAAATAACCTTGACACTTGGGAGTTGTAGTTGCTGGGAGTTATAGTTCACCTACAATCAAAGAGCATTCTGAACTCCAGCAACAACGGAATTGAACCAGTCTTGGCACACAGTTCTCCCATGACCAAAAGAAAATGCTGGAAGGGTTTGGTGGGCAGTGTCCTTTGGTTTTGGAGTTGTAGTTCATCTACATCCAGAGATCACTGTGGACTCAAACAATGATGGATCTGGACCAAACTCTACAGGAATACTCAATATTCCCAAATGTGAACAATGGTGGAGTTTGGGGGAAAATAA